CAGCTGTTCCACCTTGAACTTCTTTCCAAAATAGGTCTTAGTTTGTTTCATCTGCCTGAGCCCACACAGACCTAAGTCCCTATCAACTCCATCTCCAATAATTTTATTTCTGTAAAATGTGTGTGTGTGCATATCCGTGCCCTGGTGTGTGTACGGAGGTCAAAGGACAACTCTCAGAAGTCTGTTGTCTCCTTCCACCATTCAAGTTCTGAGGACTGAACTCAGTCAGGCTTGACAACAAGTACCTTTACCCACTGAACCATTTCCATGGTCTCTTGGATTCTTGAGTTTTTACATGTTTTTTTAAATTGGGGTCTGGCTAAATAGCAATCTTTCTGCCTCAATCTTCCTTGTTATTGTTTGTTTTTTAACTTTTTTTTCTAGACAGGGTTTCTCTGCATAGCCTTGTCCTGGAACCCTCTCTGTAGACCAGGCTGGCCTCAAACTCAGAGATCCACTTGCCTTTGCCTCCCGAATGTTGGGATTAATGGTATGGACCACCACTACCCAGCCTGCCTCAGGCTTTCTACGCAGAGATTACAGCTGTGTGTCCCCTCACCTGGATCTGCTTCCCCTCTTAAAGAGTAAATGCGAGCTGAGGGGGTGGCTTAGTCAGGGAAGTACTATGAAAGCATGAACATCGGAGTCTGGGTCCCCAATGCCCATATAAAAGCCATGTCTGTAAGCCAGGCCTGGGAAGTGGACACAGGAGGATCTTGCAGGAGGATCTTGGAGCTCCTGGGCCTAGTCTACTAGTGAGTTCTAGGAACAGTGAGGGACCCCAGTGGTTGAAGGCTGGAGAGATGGCTCGGCAGTGAAGACAGCATACCGTTCTTGCAGAGGACTGATGTGCAGTTTCCAGTGCCTGTGATGAGCCGCTCACAACTGCCTGGAACCCCAGCTCCAGGGGATCCAACCACTCTAGCCTGTGCAGGCACCTGCACTCTTCCCATACCCCCATACACACATGTCCACAGTTTAAAATAATAGGAATGAGTGCTTTTTCAAAATGAGACTGTTGAGCTGGGCATGGTGGCACACACCTTAATCTCAGGACTTAAGAGTCAGGGAAAGCAGATTTCTGTGAGTTCGAGGCCAGCCTGGTCTATGTATCAAGTTTCAGATCAGCCTGGGTCACATAGTGAAACACTGTCAAGCAAGCAAGCAAGAAAGAAAGAATTTATCAACAGAGAAAGATACCCAACACCAACCCCTGCCTTCCATAGGTACCTGCACACCTATGCACACACCCACAGAAACATGTTTCTATAACACGCGCGCCATCAGGCTTCAAGCAGTCTTAATGTTTGTGCGCCTTCCTGTGAAGAAAGAGGCTAAGCTTTCAGGTGGCTGGTTTCATCTTCCTTCACTGTCCCTCCGGCTTGTCACAGTTTCATCAGGCTGCCATTCTTCATTCCCTCAGTAGCAAACTCCTGCTTGCTTCCGAGCCTTTGCACACGGGTTCAGCTCTGAGCAGTGCCTCTCACCCCCACCCCCCACTCTGGACAAACTCATCTTCTGGGGACTTAGCTTCAATGATACTCGAATTTTCCAGTTTTATTTGTTTGTTTGTTTTTGAGATAAGATCTCTCTAGGAAGCTCTTGCTTTCCTGGAATTCACTATGTAAACCAGGTTGGCCTATAATTCACAGAGATTTCCCTGCCTCTGTCTCCCAAGTGCTGGGATTTAAGGCATGCATCACCAATGCCTGGCCAGTCTTTATTTTTTAAAACTTATTTCTTTGTGTGTGTTGGAGTTAGGGGTTGGGTGTGTCACAATGTGTGTGCGGAAGTCAGTATAGCTTGTGGGAGTCAGTTCTCTCCTTCCACCAGGCTCCTGGGGACCAAACTCAGGTTGTTAAGCTTGGTAGTAAATGTCAGAAAGTTACAAACCATCCTTACACAAGGGTCACGGTAAATCTCTATAATGTTCCAATTTTAGTGTATATGCTGCCAAAGTGAGTATTCAGTCTATTTTTAACTCTCCTGCCAATATTTCAACAATCTTCATCAATTGTGTGCTTTTCCTCATCACAGTGCCATGATTTGCAATCATGTGCAATCTACTGTTGGACTACTTATCAGGGCCAAGGGTGTAGCTCATTAGGGAAGTGCCTGCCTAGCAAGCACGAAGCCCAGGGCCCTGTCCCTGCATTGCACAAACAGGTGCCTGCCTGTATTCCTAGCACTTGGGTGGTGGAGTCAGGAGGAGCAGAAATTCAAGGACATCCTTAGCTACTAAGGGATCTGTGCTGTTTTTTTGTTTTGTTTTTGAGATATGAAACTCATTATATAACCTTGGCTGGCCCTAAACTCACAGACAGCTGCTTGCCTATGCCTCCCAAATGCTGAGATTACATGGTGAGCTTGAGATCAGCTGTGCTACATGAGGTCTGCCTAAAAGAAAATGAAAAGACAAACAAAACAGAGAGAGAGAGAGAGAGAGAGAGAGAGAGAGAGAGAGAGAGAGAGAGAGAGAGAGAGAGAGAGAGAGAGAGAGGGAAGAGGGTCTGTGTGGGTGAGGGTAGTGTCAAAGAGGGTGGAGTTCTGCAAAAGAGGGTGTAGGGGTGCTTACACAGACCGAAAAGTCAAGGTTGCCAATTTTGCCTGAGGAAGCTCAAAAGGGGAACTGAATACTGAACAGGGGTAGCAGTGGGGGTGGGGGTGAGGTGGGGGTGGGGAGCAGCTCAGAAAGGTGGGACAGAGTATCCTTTTTGGCTGCTGCTTCCCTTCTCTGTTTTACACATCTGCTGTAACCAGATGGTTTGAAGTTATCTCTCTACCCAGCTGAGCCAGAGTGATTAAAGCACCCAGTCTTTGGTCCCTACCTGGGAGACCAAATTGCCCTGTAGCAATAGCAATTAGCTATTGTTCCCCTCCTCTCCCCCCACTCACTGGGAAACTTTATCTTTGGCCCCTCAGTAATTATATTGATATCCTCTTTAAATATTGACCAGAGATTTCCCCCTAATCCCTAAGGGTTTCTCCCTACAGCCGACCATTCTGAGAGCTTTCTCTGATAAATACCTGTATTTCCCCTCCCATACACTTAATAATTTTACAACTTTAAGAACACTTCCATTAAATGATGAAAAAGAAACCCCTGGAGTTCCTTTATACTGTCATCTTTCTTTCTTTCTTTCTTTTTTTTTTTGAGACAGGGTTTCTCTGTGTAACAGCTCTAGCCTAGCTATCCGGGAACTACCTCTGTAAACCAGGCTGGCCTAGAACTCACAGAAATTGGGCCTGCCTCTGTCTCTTTAGTAGGGATTAAAGGCCTGTGCCACCACAGACCACTTTTTTCTTTTCTTTTCTTTTCTTTTCTTTTTTTTTTGGTTTTTACGAGACAGGGTTTCTCTATATTGTTTTGGAGGCTGTCGGTCCAGCCTGGCCTCGAACTCACAGAGATCCGCCTGCCTCTGCCTCCCGAGTGCAGGGATTACACTTTTTTCTTCTTAAAAGAGGATTTATTTTTATTTTATAAGTGTTTTGCCAGTGTACACGAATGCCTGGTGCCTACAAAGGTTAGAAAAGGTGTTAGATCCTCTAGAACTGGAGGTAGAGACAGTTGTGGATTCTGGGAACTGAACTCAAGAACTACACAGGAGCAACAAGTACTCTTAATTATTAAGCCATCTCTCCAGTCTCTCAAATCATATACACACACGCACATACATACATACTTACACACACCACACACACACACACCCCAACACACAGAGACAGACAGACAGAGAGAGAAGATTATAATTACAAAATGAATAAATAAAATGCAGAGAGGCAGAGGCAGGCAGATCTTTGTGAGTTTGGGACATCCTGGTCTATGTAGTGAGTTCCAGGACAGCAGGACTACGTAATGATACTCTCACTCAAGAACCAGAAAAAGAGCCGGGAGGTGGTGGCACACGCCTTTAATCCCAGCACTCGGGAGGCAGAGGCAGGCGGATCTCTGTGAGTTCAAGGCCAGGCTGGACCGACAGCCTCCAAAACAATACAGAGAAATCCTGTCTCGTAAAAACCAAAAAAAAAAAAAAAAAAAAAAAAAAAAGAACCAGAAAAAGAAAGGAAGAACCACAAACCTGTATCAATGCACATACTTTAAACCATATACAATAAAACTGCAGAAGTTATAGATGTTAATTAAACAAAAATAAAATGAGAAAACTTACAGAACAAGCTTGATAACGTGGTTGGACCCTGCTCCCCTGCATGGTCCAACTTCTACATGTGGTTCTTACACACACACACACACACACACACACACACACACACACACACACACACAAATACAGATTGTAAATAATGTTTATAAAAGTTAATAAAAGGAGCCCAGCATGGCAACTCAAGCCTGTAATTCCTGCCCTTAGAGGCAGAGGGAGGAGGTCAGGAATTCAAGGCCACCCTCGGCTACTTACTGAGCTTTAAACCATCTTGGGCTATGTCATATCCTATCTCAGCAAAGGAACAACAACAAAAAAAAAAAAAAGAGAGAAAGAAAAAAGAAAACCAGCTGATAAAACAAAATCGATGTCATTAATGTGACAGGTGACATCTGAATGGTTTAAAACCACCAGCAATTAGAGCGGAGAAGTACTTTGCCACTGCGCATCCTGTACCACCATTTATCGTCAGTTTCCTTTCTCCTTCTTTTCTTTATTCTACCGTGGTGTCACCTGGTGTGCACATATTTCATCACCCACAGAAACATGCACATCGACATTCATAGCAGCATTATAATGTGCCTGTGGACACCAGCCAAGTGCCCATCAACAGATGATGTGGCTGGAATAGTATCCCTTCAGAAAAAAGAATGAAGCCCTAAATAGCAAAACAGTCACTAAGTGGCGCTGGCAGAGGTCCCGCAGCCTCGGAATAGTAGTCGGTAGTGCGGAACCGGCCCCATTGCCTTCCCGGGCCCACGGAATACTGATTGGCTGAGCTCAGCAGGGGCGGGGCGGGGCGAGGCGCGGCGGGGCGGGAGGAAACCTGGTCTCGCGAGATCTCGTTGGTTCCGCATTTCGGCTCTCCGAAGTGTGGGTGGCAGCTCCGGAGGGCAGTGTGATCCGTGCTGGTTCGCGGCGGCTGGGATCCAGTTCCACGCCCGGGCCTTGAAGCTTCGGCGGCCCTACTTAGCCGCGGACCGCCCTCCGTATTCCGGTGCCCGCGGCGGCGCCGAGTCTGACTGGGGCGGGGTCGCGGCCCCTCGGGCTAGCGAGGATGAGCTTCCTCTTGTGAGTGGGCCGGGCCGGGCCGGGCGGGGCTGGTGTGGGTCGGCGGGGCCCGGCCGAGGGTGCCGAGCGGAGGGCGGGGCCGCCGCCTCGGAAGAGGTTCGCGCAGGAAAACGACGTGCGCTGTGACTAGACAGCGCAGATACTCAGTGGTTTCACACAGGTTTACGTTTGAGGAGCTGGCCGCTGGCCCCTGTTATGTGATTCCCCCTCCCCCCCCCCCATCCCAGGCAGCCTTGAACCTGGCCGCCTCCCGCCTCAGCCTTCCGAGTAGCTAGGATTACAGCCTAGGCCACCAGGACTGGCCTGCTTTAAATGTGGGTCTTTTCTGAGAGAGGGGCTCACTGTGTAGCCCAGGCTGGCCTGGAATTCAGAGCTCCACCTGTCTCTGCCTCCTGGGTGCTGGGAGTTTTTAAAGGTGGACGCTTTAACTTCTGCCCCAAATGTGAGGGTTTTTTTTTTCTTTTTAAAGGTTTTTAGTTTTTGAGAACTTCTTAGATGCGGTTATTTTCCCATCATATCCACCCCTCTCTCCAGTGTCCTCTCATTTCCCTTTCAAATTTATGTTCTCATCATTTATATTTTTTATATGTGCGCGCGCACACCCCCCGCCCCCCACCCCCAGTTAGTGTTGCCTTGGGTGTAGAGCTGACCACTCTATCATGGGCAGTCTAGTTGAGCCTGACCCTGAAAAAAAACCTGACTTTTTGTTTGTAGCTCTTCAACAGGTGTGGTAAATGTGAGTATTTGTAACCAAAGCTGTTTGAAATCTTAGTGTTTTACACTTACTTTTTGGTTATTCTGAATAACGCTGCTGTGAACATCTTGCTACAGGTGTGTGTGTGCGTGCGTGCGTGACATCTCCCGGGTATTAAGAATGGATTGTTACATGTTAGTCTTTTGAGGCACTGCCAAGCTTTTTAAAGGCCTGCACTGCATTTTTTTCTTCTTTTTTTTTTTTTCGAGACAGGGTTTCTCTGTGGCTTTGGAGGTTGTCCTGGAACTCGCTTGGTAGTCCAGGCTGTTCTCGAACTCACAGAGATCCGCCTGCCTCTGCCTCCCGAGTGCTGGGATTAAAGGCGTGCGCCACCAACGCCCGGCTCTGCACTGCATTTTACATCCCTATCCACTGTATGAGTTTTCAAACTTCTCCAATTCACATCTGTCAATGGTCTTGTTAGACTTGAGTGTGAAGTAGATTCTCTTGGTTTGTATTCTGCCAATGACCAGTAACATCGAGCATAGTTGTGTGTGTATTTTCATGCTATTTGAGGATAAAATAAAGTCTTTTGAAAACCTTGTCCTGCTGGGCGGTGGTGCACGCCTTTAATCCCAGCACTCGGGAGGCAGAGGCAGGCGGATTTCTGTGAGTTCGAGGCCGGGCCGGACCGACAGCCTCCAAAACAATGCAGAGAAACCCCGTCTCGTAAAGCCAAAAAAAAAAAAAAAAGAAAAGAAAAAAAGAAAACCTTGTCCTATTTTAAAATCAGATTGATTTTTTATTTTGTTAACATCTGTTAACTGTACAAATTAGTGGGTTTTACTGTGACATTTCCATATGTGTATATATGGTACAGTGGTTGTCCATCTGTCTGTCTTTTTTGTTTGGTTTGTAAAAATTCTTCATATATTTGAGTGTCCACATCTATGACTTAAAAATGGTTTCTTCCATCCTCTGGTTTATTTAACTGTCTTGATGCCATCAATTGAAGCATAACTATATTTTTTAAAGATCTGGTTACTTTTTGTTTCTTTGAGACAGGGTCTCACTATGTAGCTCTGCCTGTCCTGGAATTCACTATGTAGACCAGGCCGGCCTCAAACTCAAAGAGATCTGCCTGTCTCTTCCTCTAGAGTGCTGGGATTAAAGATGTATGCCATTATGCCCAGCTTAAGATTTTTACTTTTTGTATGTAAGTGTTTTGCTTCCATGTATGTGTGTCATTTGCATCCACTACCCATGAATGCCAGAAGAGGGCATCAGATTCTTTTGTGGAATAGATGTGTTACATTTGTTTCTTCTGTGGAATATTTGTTTAGTGATGCAAAAAATGTGTTAATCCTTTTATGTTGCATTTGTTTAACTCTGTGAAGCTGTGTTACTTTGCCTGTCTAAAACACCTGATTGGTCTAATAAAGAGCTGAATAGCCAGTTGCCAGGCAAGAGAAAAGATAGGTGGGACTGCCAGGCAGAGAGAATAAATATGAAGAGAAATCTAGATGGGGGAAGGGAGGGAGAGAGAGAGACAGACAGACAGACAGACAGACAGAGGGGTATGTATAGCTAGTCACACAGCCACACAGGGAGTAAGAAGTAAAGAAAAGATATACAGAAATAGAAAAAAGCCCAGAGGTAGATGGACTAATTTAAGATAAGCTGGCTAGAAGTAAGCCAAGGTTGTACATTCATAAGCAAGAATAAGTCTTGTGTATTTATTTGGGAGCTGGGTGGTGGGCCTCCCCATAAAAGTAAAGAGTAATAAAAACCAACTACAAGATCCCTTAGAATTGGAGTTGTGGATAGTTGTGAGCCACTGTATGGGTACTAGGAACTGTACCCCAGTCGTCTGTAAGAACAGTAAGTGTTCTTAATCACTGAGCCATCTCTCCAGCCCTTGAAGCGCTAATCTGGTTTGTCAAGACAGGTTTCTCTATGTAACAGCCCTAACTGACCTGGAACTCACTTTGTAGACCAGCCTGCCTCAAACTCTCAGAGATCTGCCTGCCTGTGCCTCCCTAGTGCTGGGATTAAAGGCGTGCACTACCACAGCCCAGCACACTAATCTTAGTTTATAATATGAAGATCATATTGAATCTTAAGAAATTACTTAATATTAATTATCCATATTTAGTTTCCTGTCATTAAGTTTCCTATCTCCATGTGTTCTGGACTGTCTTTTCCCCTAACGAATCTCGTTTATAAAGTATGATTTTTAGTGTGGTGCTTTTATAATTCTTCCTATACTACTTAAAGTTCACACTTCACAGGTGAGGTATAAGTCCACAAGTCTGTTCCTTTCCCCATCGTAGAAGTTACCATGGATTCTGATATGTGTTGATGCTTTTTCTGTTTTGTTGTTGTTGTTAGTGCTTTCTATGGACAAAATAGGCTCTGCTCTAATTTGGTTTTGTAATGTGTTCAGCTGTGTTTTGAATTTTTCTGTGAACATATGTACTAGTTCCTCCTTTATTACTAGGTAGCATCCCATGATATTTTGTGCTGTCCAAATCTAAGAGACAGGCCTACAAGTGAATGGAAGATGTAGATTTGCATTGTTAAAAGATGTTGCCATTACAAGCATTGGAATCTAGAGTGTGTCCCCCTGGTTAAAATGCTCTGGAAGATGGGGTATAACAAATTGCCCTATGTTGTAGCAAATTGTGGTGCTGCTCCTTCACTAAGATTTGAAATATTCCTTTAATCCCAGCACTCGGGAGGCAGAGGCAGGCGGATCTCTGTTAGTTTGAGGCCAGCCTGGTCTACAGAGTGAGTTCCAGGACAGCCTCCAAAGCCACAGAGAAACCCAATCTTGAAAAACCAAAAAAAATTTTTTTTAAATTTTCATTTGTTTGTTTCATATATGTACACGTGTGACTGTGTAATATGCACACAAATGTGTGGGTGTGTGTCCCTGATGCAGAGGCTAGAAGAGGGCATTAGGCGCCTGCTGTCACTCTTTGCTTCTTCCTTTGAGGCAGGGTCTATCTTTGAACTTGGAACTCTTTTTCTCCACTAGGCTGGAAGCCAGCAGGCGCCAGATATCCTTATCTTGGTCAGTCTTATATTGCTGTGAAGAGACATTAAGACCATGGCAACTGTTATAAATGAAAGCATTTAACTGGGGCTTGCTTAGCAGTTTCAGAGGTTTTACTCCATTGTCATCATGGTGGGGAGCATGGCGATGGACATGACGCTAGCGAAGTAACTGGCAGTTCTACATCAGAAGCGCAGGCAGCAGGAAGAGAGAGAGAGAGAGACTGGGTCTGGCTTGGACTTTTGAAAACCATAAAGCCCACCCCATGATGCATTTTTTTCCAACAAGGCTACACCTCCTAATCCTTTCAAATAGGTCATTTAAATATGTGGACCTATGGGGCCTTTATTTTTTTTTTTAAGATTTATTTATTATTTATACAGTGTTCTGCCTGCATGCCAGAAGAGGGCACCAGATCTCATTACAGATGGTTGTGATCACTGGGAATTGAACTCGGACCTCTCGAAGAGGAGCTAGGGATCTTAACAGCTGAACCATCTCTCTAGCTCTTCAGGGATTGCTTTTTATTGATCAGCTTATTTATTCCAATATTTATTTGTGTGTATGTGCAATAGTAATACTTGCTCTTAACTGCTTAGCTGTCTTCCAACCCCCTAATAGAGCCATTTATATATGAAAAATGCCAGTCTGCTTTCATTCCTAAAATAATCATACATTTTTACTTTCAACCCAACAGCAGCAGCCGTTCTTCGAAAACATTCAAACCAAAGAAGAACATTCCTGAAGGCTCCCATCAGTATGAACTCTTAAAACATGCAGAAGCCACTCTGGGAAGTGGCAATCTGAGGCAAGCTGTCATGTTGCCAGAGGGAGAGGACCTCAATGAGTGGATTGCTGTTAACAGTAAGTTTTTAAGAATTTAACCTGAGTCGGGCGTTGGTGGCGCACGCCTTTAATCCCAGCACTCGGGAGGCAGAGGCAGGCGGATCTCTGTGAGTTCGAGAACAGCCTGGACTACCAAGCGAGTTCCAGGACAGCCTCCAAAGCCACAGAGAAACACTGTCTCAAAAAAACAAAAAAAAAAACCAAAAAAAAAAAAGAATTTAACCTGGCTGGGTGGTGGTGGCGCACACCTTTAGTCCCAGCACTCGGGAGGCAGAGGCAGGCGGATCTCTGTGAGTTCGAGAACAGCCTGGACTACCAAGCGAGTTCCAGGACAGCCTCCAAAGCCACAGAGAAACACTGTCTCAAAAAAACAAAACAAAAAACAAACAAAAAAAAGAATTTAACCTGGCTGGGTGGTGGTGGCGCACACCTTTAGTCCCAGCACTCGGGAGGCAGAGGAAGGCAGATCTCTGTGAGTTCGAGATCAGCCTGCTCTACAAGAGCCAGTTCTAGTACAGCCTCCAAAGCCACAAAGAAACCCTGCTTCGAAAAGAAAAACAAAAAGTTTAAGCTATTGACTTACAGAGTTTGCTAAAATATTGTTTAATGAATTTTCTCTTATAGGAAAAACATGAGTACAGATACATTTAGACTTGTCAAAGTACTTGGTTGTGTGGTTGAGTGGGGAGACTTTGAAGAGAAGTACCAAGTGTTTTAGGCTGTTTCTTGGGGAGAATATTGTGAAGAAATGAGTAAGGTCAACTAAAAATGTAAATGCAAAGTAGGAGGCTTGTATGTTGTTTGAGCAATGTAAAGTACTAATTTAGGGAAACTTCTGCTTTTAATTTTATTAATTTCTTTTTTGGGGACAGGGTTTCCTCTGTGTAGCTTTAACTGTCCTGCAACTCCCTCTGTAGACCTGGCCTCAAACTTTCAGAGATCTGCCTGCCTCTGCCTCTGAAGTGCTGGGATTAAAGGCATGCATCATCAATGCCTGGCTTAAAAAAAAAATAGAATATAACTAAGAAGGAATTTGTAAGTTAGGGAGTTTTTTGTTTTTAATTTAGGTTAGAAACAATCTTGTTTCACATGTCAATCCCAGCTCCCTCTCCCTCCTCACCAGGTCCCCCAATCCCCCACCCAGTCTCCACTCTGATCACCAAGGAGGGTGAAGCCCTCCATGGTGGATCTCCAGTAACTGTCATTTCATCCAGGGTAGGGCCTAGGCCCTCCCCCCAGAGTCCCGGCTGAGAGAGCCTCCCATATTGTGGCATGGGCACTCAAAGTCTATTTGTATGCCAGGGATAAATACTACCCAAGACCCCATAGATTACCTAGGCCTCCTCACTGACACCCACATTCAGGGGGTCTGGGTCAGTCCCATGCTTTCCACACAGCCATCAATCTGGAAAAGTTAGAGAGTTTTTAATGAGATGTTTTTGATGAAACAGAATTTTCTCTTAATTCATTTTGAAGAAACTAGGAAAGCCCAAGTTCATTTTTTTTCAAGTACTCCTTTAGATAGGATCATGGCATTTGAAACACTTTCTGAGTCTTAATGATTCTCTTTACACCCAATCAAGTTTACCACTCATTCCTTCCTCTTCATCCTCCAAATCTAGTGGAAGCTTCTTTGGAATGTCCTCCCTGACTGTGCAGTCCTTTCCAATGTTACCTTTTCTTTGAACTTCTAGAACTTACTGTTGGCATGTAGGTCCCATCTTCTTGTGTCTTGTATTCATCTTTTAAACTCTTGTATTAGAATAGACCCAGACTAGATATTTGATTCTAAAATCGTTTTGAGTGGTCAAATGCTGATGCTGAAGCAGATGTTTGAAATGTATGATATAGCCTGTAACTTCCCACTAAGTTTGTTCTGTAGCACCTTTTTTCTTTCCTAACAAATGTGGTTTAGATTGATAAGCTGTGAGTCTTCCAAGAGCTAATCAAATAATTTATTCCAGTGACTGATTAGTTACCATTAAATTAAAATCAGCTCCAGCTAAGTTAGTTGGACATGGTAGTGTGCTCCAGCAATCCCAGTTGCTTGGGAAGCTTAGGCAGAAGGATTGCATGAGCCCAGGAGTTCCAGACTAGATTGGGGCAACATAGACCCCACTTTATCTGTCTGTCTGTCTGTCTGTCTGTCTGTCTATCTATCTATATATGCATTTATGCATTTATTTATTTGGTTTTTCGAGACAGGGTTTCTCTGTATTGTTTTGGAGGCTGTCCTGGAACTCACTCTGTAGACCAGGCTGACTTCGAACTCACAGAAATCCGCCTGCCTCTGCCTCCTGCCTCTGCCTCCCTGGTGCTGGGATTGAAGGAGTGTGCCACCATAGACCCCATTTTAAAAAAGAAAATATTGTCCATTTTCCTTTGGCTAAGAGATCTGGTTTGTCATGGTTTATATAGATACTTAACATAGTTATGGCATTGTCTTTGCAGCTGTGGATTTCTTCAATCAGATCAACATGTTGTATGGAACCATTACAGAATTCTGCACTGAGGCAAGCTGCCCAGTCATGTCTGCAGGTCCCAGGTATGTGTCTAGCCTGGTCCAGAGGCTTTTGAATCATGTTTTTATAACTGATAAACTAATAATAAAGACTATTTTTTTAACATTTTTTAGATTTATTTATTATGTATACAGCATCTGTCTGTATGCCCACAGGCCAGAAGAGGGTGTGTTTGCTGGGAATTGAACTCAGGTCCTATGGAAGAACAGCCAATGCTCTTAACTTCTGAGCCATCTCCCCAGCCCCAATAAAGACTATTCTTGCCTGTTTCTTCATGTATCGATAATTCAGTTTGTGAGTTCTTCACTACTTAGCGATAGCCCTTATTGTTGACTACTTTGTTATATGAATACTCAGTGTTTGATATTTATATTGTAATTGTATTGTTCTATTGTAGGAGTAAACATACAGAAATTTGAGTTAGGGGTCAGTGAGATGACTCAAGAGGGTAAAGGCACTTGCTGCCAAGACTGACTCCTGAAAGTTGTTCTCACATGCACTATGGGTACATGCCCACACAAATAAATGTAATTTTAAAAGAAACGTGACTTAGATTCATCCAAAAGATCTGGTTTTTTTTTTTTTTTAGTTTGATTAGAGTTTAAATTATTTTTCTTTTTTAAAGATTTATTTATTGTGTATACAGTATTATGTCTGCATGTATGCTTACAGGCCAGAAGAGGGCACCAGATCTCATTACAGATGGTTGTGAGCCACCATGTGGTTGATGGGCATTGAACTCAGGATCTCTGGAAGAGCAGCCAGTGCTCTTTTTTTTTTTTTTTGGTTTTTCCAGACAGGGTTTCTCTGTTTTGTTTTGGAGGCTGTCCTGGAACTCACTCTGTAGACCAGGCTGGTCTCGAACTCACAGAGATCCTCCTGCCTCTGCCTCTCGAGTGCTGGGATTAAAGGCGTGTGCCACCAGTGCCTGGCTAAATTACTTTTTTGTTGTTGTTGGTGTTCTTGTTGTTTTGTTTTTCTTTCTTTTTTTTTATTTTTTGAGACAGGGTTTCTCTGTGACTTTGAAGGCTGTCCTGGAACTAGTTCTTATAGACCAGGTTGTTCTCGAACTCATAGAGATCCGCCTGCCTCTGCCTCCTGAGTGCTGGGATTAAAGGCGTGTACCACCAACACTAGGCTAGAGTTTAAATTTTTTTTTTAAAGATGTATTTATTTATTGTTTATATAGTATTCTGTCTGTCTGTATGCCTGCAGGCCAGCACAGGGCACCAAATCTCTTATAGATAGTTGTGAGCCACCATGTGGTTGCTGGGAATTGAACTCAGGACCTCTGACAGAGCAGTCAGTGCTCTTAACCTCTGAGCCCCTAGAGTTTAAATTCTTACAAGAATTTTTAGGTGGTGTTTTAATATTTACTCATTCTTTTTGGTAACCTATATAGAAATAACAAAAGTAGCTGTACATCCAGAAGTAAGAATCTGTTCTTATTGAATCTAGTCTTATAGAATTTCTGTGGACAAAATGTGAGCCTGTTTTGATTACAGGTTACACATGTTAAGGTTTAACAGCTGTCAATAACACGTTGTCGTTCTCTTCAGGTATGAATACCATTGGGCAGATGGCACTAATATTAAAAAGCCAATCAAGTGTTCTGCACCAAAATATATTGACTATTTGATGACTTGGGTTCAGGATCAGCTTGATGATGAAACCCTTTTCCCTTCAAAGATCGGTAAGTAGAACGGCTTTTCTTTCTGGATGATATCTGTAATCTTGAGGTGCTCTGTGACTTTATATCAGTTTAACAGAGAAAGCCACACTCTCCAAAAACGCTTGTACCCATGTATATTCCCCTAGCATGTCCACTTCTGCTTTTTCATACCAGTTACATATTTTTTAATCTTTTCCAATTTTATTAAATTGGATATACTTTAAAATGATTATTTTGTGTATATGTATGCATTCCATGGCATATATGTGCAAATCAGACAACTTCTTGGATATGGTCTTTACACCTTTATGTGTTTTTTTGGTTTGTTCTCACCACGTAGTCTTAGTTGTCCTGGCACTTTCTGTAGACCAGGTTGTCCTGAAACTCAGAGATCTGCCTGCTTCTACCTCCTGAGTGCTGGGATTAAAGGTGTGTACCACTGTGTTCATCTTTTATGTGGATTTTGAGGATTCAAATCAACTTGTTAGTTTTTCATGGCAAGCACCAGACCCACTGAGCCATCTCATTGGCCCTAAACTTCTGTTTTAATGTCCATTTGAAAATATAGATGTCAGCCTGGTGAGATGGCTTAGAGGTTAAGAGCACAGACTGCTCTGTCAGAGGTCCTGAGTTCAATTCCCAGCAACCACATGGTGGCTCACAACCATCTATAATGAGATCTGGTACCCTCTTCTGCCATGTAGGCATACATGAAGGCAGAACACTGTATACTAAATAAATAAAATCTTAAAAAAATATTGATGAAGGAGCCACCAAGATGGCTCAGGAAGTATAGAGGAAGTATGGTGGCTGGAGCTTGATCCCTGAGACCCACAAGATGGGAGGTGTCCTTTGACTCCACATGCGCCTCAACAGCACATGCATGTATGTATACACTTGTGCTCATGGACACACAAATCCTGAAATTTTCTGTTCTGTTTATGTTCTTTTTACAGATCGTTGGTCTTTGTCATGTAGGCTGTATATTTTTCCCCTAAGGCACCTTTGGTATTATTTATAGGGTGTTTTGCTATGTACACCTCTTATTTTGCTCATTTTCTTTAAAACATGGGTGGTTAAGTTGTTTGTGGTGCTAGGATTGTGTGCTAGGCACCCTGAGCTCTGCTTACCACCCCAAATTGCATTTTAGCTATGGGAAAGGTTTTCTTTATTGTTAGATAATGACATTGCTGCTGTGGTGGTGACACACACCTTTAATCCCAGCACTCGGAAGGCAGAGGCCAGCCTGGTCTACAAAGTGAGGTTTCAGGCCAGCCTCCAAAGAATACAGAGAAACCTCTGTCTGGAAAAACCAAAACAAAAAAAGATAATGACATTGCTTTTTGTTTGTTTGTTTGTTTGTTTTTCAAGACAGGGTTTCTCTGTGGTTTTGGAGGCTGTCCTGGAACTAGCTCTTGTAGACCAGGGTGGTCTTCAACTCATAGAGATCCTCCTGCCTCTGCCTCCCGAATGCTGGGATTAAAGGCTTGTGCCACCACCACCCGGTGATAATGACATTGCTTATGTTTTTTATTTAGTATTTTTAAAAAAATCTTTAGGCTGTCAAGGTTTTTATTCTGAATGCTGCTTCAATTTTCTTTCCTAAAAGAAGTTAGCCAGTTTGTTCCAATTTGATGTAAGTGTCTTTCCTTCCTTAGTTAAATCATGTATAGAGCAAGTTGCCATGTTTTGGGGCCTTGTAAGCCTTGTGGAAATTGTATAATTTCGGATTACCTTATAGGGCTAGCTCACTCTGTTCTTCATGTATGTTCTATCTGTTCTTCATAAAAATACAGAAACATTTTTTCAAAGTAAAAATAAATGTTAGCTGGGCATATTTCTACCTTTAACCCCAGCACTCCAGATAATACCAAAGGAAGATCTCTGTGAGTTCCAGATCACCCAAGGCTGTATAGTGCCAGACCCTGCCTTAAAAAAAATGTAGATTAAAAAAAAATTACTTTAAAAATTGTGTGTGTGTGTGTGTGTGTGTGTGTTTGTGTCACAGTACATGAGTGGAGGCCAGAGGACAACTTTGGAGTAGTTCTTCCTTCTGCCTTTATTTAATGGTGTCTGGGGATGGAATTTGGGTCTCCAGCCTTGTACGGCAAAGCCATCTTCAGATATTTTCTCATTGTCTATTTTTGATGACTGTAAGTTACTACGTTTTTTGGTGCTGGAGGTCAGACCCAGGGCCCCTCATATGGATGGGCACAAACTATACCACTGAGTTATATCCCAACTTCTCCATTTCTTTCTAAAATGTTCTGCTAGGAGCACATTTCTGGCTTGCTACTATTTTGATTTTGGTTTTGTACTGAAGAATGAAGTTAGCCTGCTTGCAGTTCCTGGGGGTCTGAATATCTTCTTACCAGATTCTTTTTTTTTTTTGAGACAGGGCTTTTCTGTGCAGCTTTGGAGCCTGTTCTGGAACTTACTCTGTATACCAGGCTGGCATTGAACTCAGAGATCTGTCTGCCTCTGTCTCCTAAGTGCTGGGATTAAAGGTGTGCCCCACTACCACCTGGCTACCAGATTCTTCTTGTGCTTTTCTTCATAGTCCTAAACAGACGCACTTCTGGGAGAAACATTTAGATCAATTAAAAAAACATTTATTTATTTACCTATTCTCTACACCCCAGTGTGTCTGGGTCTGGGTGTGAACTTGTGTGGCAGTGTAAGGGTATGAACAACTTAGGGAGGTCAGTTCTCACCTTCCATCATGTGAATCCTGGAGATTGAACTCAGGTCATCAGGCTTGGCAGCAGATGCCTTTATCCATGCAGCCAACCTGCTGGCCCTAGATCAACTTTTTATACTTAGGCTGCTGTTGGGGAAAATGGAGAAAATCCTAATACTCCAGAGGCTGAGACAGGAGGATTGCTGGGAGTTCAAGACTAGCCTGTGCTACAGAGTGAGACTTTGTCTCAAAGAAGCAAAAAAAAACCCTGCTAGACTTGGCTTGTTACTAACAGTCTTCTATTAAACCTTGTATTTCCTTTCTCACTGATACTTGGTTCTATATTGAATCCACTTGAATGTGGTCTATTAAATTCAGTTTAGAAAGTTCTTAGAAGCCGGGCAGTGGTGGTGCACGCCACCACTCGGGAGGCAGAGGCAGGCAGATCTCTGTGAGTTCGAGACCAACCTGGTCTACAAGAGCTAGTTTCAGGTCAGCCTCCAATACCACAGAGTCTCGAAAAACCAAAAAAAAAAAAAAAAAAAAAGAGTACTTAGAATAAAACAGCTTACATGTATACTCAGTTATGCTTCTTTTGATTTCATTTTTGAGGCAAGATCTCATTTAGCTCAGTTTGGCCTTGAATTCACTGTGTAGCTGAGGATGATCTTGAATGCTGGGTCCTGTAGCTACTTCCTACTAGCTGAGGTTATAAAATCTCATCATCATGCCCTCAGAATCCCTCCTATTTCCTCAGCTTCTCTTTCTACTGTAATAATTCTAGACTCCTTCCCCTGCCTCCTCCTCCCCATTAGGCTATTATCAGTATTGTAATTTTTGCTAGTTGTTTTAGCTTGTTGGTTAGAACTGTTGTTTTTCTTTTTTCTTTTTTTAAGCAGCATATATTAAGTCATTAGTAGGATAGGAATTTTAAGAGAAAAGATATTTGATTTTAAAACCTGCTGTTTTGGGATTTTGTACTAAGATTCTGTCCAGAGAAATAGCTCAAGCTCCAGTGTAGTATTTGAAAACTCAGTATAACTCAGACTAGGGACTGGGAAAATCACAGAAATAAGCAAAATTCATTTAAATATCAAGCCTTTTTTGTTTTTTTGAGACAGGGTTTCTCTGGCTTTGGAGGCTGTCCTGGAACTAGCTCTTGTATACCAGGCTGGTCTCGAACTCACAGAGATCTGCCTGCCTCTGCCTCCCGAGTTCTAGGATTAAAGGCTTGTGCCACCACCACCCGGTCAAATATCAAGCTTTTAAGGGCTTGTTTAAGAAAAAAAAAAAGTAGGATACTTGGAAGGAATGCTGTTAAAAGCCTCTGTTTTCTGAGTGGTTGAAAGGTGTTTGTTTAGAGTGGTTCTGAGGGACTGGCCTTTGAAGCTGACTTCTTGTCAAGCCTGGGACAGCCATGGCCTTTTACAGATCCACCTGTCTTTGTTTCTGCCAGCCAGCCAGACTTGTCAGGAGTGTAGCCAGTTGCCAACCCCTTGGCTACTGCTTCCAGAGCGCCCCCCCCCCCACCTCCCAGTTTTTCTCTCAAGAGATGTTTCTTTTCTCTGAGAAGGAACGAGTTCCCCATCTTCTGTTTCAGGAAGGATCCCCCTTTTTGGGCCTCTAGGAAAATGAAGACCTGCTTTTAACTTTCCAGGGTAATATGGAAGATGAGATGCTCTTTAATGACTTGAGGACCATCTGTCTTTTATTGTGTTTAGGAAAATTTTCATTCCTTTTTTTTTTCTGTTACAAATGACAAAAGTGATGTTTATAATCAAAGTGCTTTTCTTGTTGCATTTCATCTTAGGGAGAAACATATTCAACAACTAACATGTTCATTTGAACTGTGACCAGCAGTCTCTATACTTGTGTCTTCTGTGGTAGGCAATCAGTGTGGAGTGGGAAGAATACTCAAGTTGGGTTTGCCTTGCTTACAGTACTCTGAAACTTATATGCTGTAGTTGCTTGAGTAGTGTCAAGACTCGCTGCTATCCCATTTGACTGATAGGTGTGCATTCAATTACAGGTGTCCCATTTCCCAAAAACTTTATGTCTGTGGCAAAGACTATTCTGAAGCGTCTCTTCAGGGTTTACGCCCATATTTACCACCAGCACTTTGACTCCGTGATGCAGCTGCAAGAGGAGGCCCACCTTAACACCTCCTTTAAGCACTTTATTTTCTTTGTTCAGGTAGGTGAGCCATATTGATCTTGGGGTGTTGGTCTTGGGTAAGAACACTGTGTCTTATTCATAGATGTAGACTGTCTAAGTATAAGCTTTGTTCTGTCCCCAGTTTTGTTCTCTATACTTTTTCATCAATTCATGAAGCAGTATAGAAGGGCTATGTCTCTGGGCTGGAGAGATGGCTCAGCAGTTAAGAACGTATACAGTTATTGCAGAGAACCTGGGTTCAGTTCCCAGAAACCGTATCAGTAGGCTCACAACTACCTGTAAGTGATCCAGCATCCTCTTTCAGCTTCCACAGGCATGTGCACACGTGTGGTGCACATAAACTCACAAAGCTCGCAGACAAGCCTGAAATAAGTAACTAGAGCTTTAAAAAAGAAAGGAAAAAAGACAGCATCCTACTTGGGCTTCCAGGTTTGTGGCTTCTTGTCTATGAGCACTAACTTAGAATTAGAACTTCAAAAGGCCAGAATAATTCACATTATTTGAAAAAGATACTAAAGAATTATCAGAGTGACACTTTGTCTCAAAAAACCAGGAAAGACAGATGGCCCAGCAGTGAAGAGCACTTCCTGCTCTTGCAGGGAACCCAAGTTCATTTTCCAGCACCTGCATGGCGGAGCTCACAACCACCTGTAACTACAGCTCCAGGGGTTCTGATACCCAAAACACACACAAAAGTAAAAACTTTTTTATAAAAGCAGAAAATGAGGGACTAGAGAGAGATGGCTCAGCAGTTAAGAAAACTGACCGCTTTTCCAACGGTCCTAAGTTCAATTCCCTGCAACCACATGGTGGCTCACAACCATATGTAATGAGATCTCTTCTGGCCAGCGGGCATACATGCAGACTGAACACATTAAAAAACAAACAAACAAACAAACAAAGAAAAGGGAAAAAAAAAGGACTCCTTGCTGGGCATTGGTGTCAGACACCTTAATCTCAGCACTCAGGAGGCAGAGGCAGCTGGATCTCTGTGAGTTTGAGGCCAGCCTAGTTAACAGAGCGAATGCCAGAATAGGCTCCAGAGAAACCCTGTCTTGGGGGAAAAAATCCTTTTAGAGCTAGGCAATTCTGTATATAAAATATCATTTGTAGTAGAGAAACCTGATAGCTTTTTGGTGGGTTCTGTGTATAGTGCAAAAACTGTACCACACTTACTGTTTTTGTGCCCTGTGTGTGCATGCATGTATATGTTCGTGTGTGTGTGTGTGTGTGTGTGTGTGTGTGTGTGTGTGTGTGTGTGTGTGTGTGTGTGAAGTTGAATTCTCTAGAGGTGGCTATTACCAGAGGCTCAGTTTGCAGTTTTTAGATCATTATATATAAACTCATGTATTCCATTTTGGTGTTTAACCCCAAGAGTTTGGTTAGGAAGGGAGCATAGTGTACCAGCACCGTAAAAGTCATGAGTCATGTCTCGGTCTTTCTGGGGAACTTTCACACCTGGTGATCTTAAGGGTCACCAGACACTGTTGACATGTAAGAGTTTGAATTTTGGTTCATTGTTACATTTCACTTTTCTTCTCTTTCCAGGAGTTTAATCTGATTGATAGGCGTGAGTTGGCACCACTTCAGGAATTAATTGAGAAGCTTGGATCTAAAGACAGATAAATGTTTCTTCTAGAACACAATTACCCTCTTGCTCTATTTACTGCTAGCACTCTCTCATTGCTGTCTGGTATGGACTAGTGATACTGACTATAAGAAAACAGGATCAAAAGACCCATTGTGTTGCCTGCAGAGAAAATTGTCGCAAAGGTAGGTTGGCCAGATAGCTTCAGAACAAGACCCATAGCCAGCCAAATTAGAGGTGCTGTGTGGCCACCCCTGTCCTGTTACTGTCCTTTGTTGTAACCTTATGACTAACCTGTAGTTTGTTGCTGATCTTTTGTTTAAGAAAGTGATTTGAGTATTCCCATGTGACAGCATAATGGACATTAAGAATTTTCAGCCATAACTTTAGTTTCTAGAAAAAATTTCCTAACACAGATCAGTTTTGCTTCATTTTACAAACTGAAATGGTGTTCCATTTCTAATCCCAGCATTTAGAGCTTCCGGTTCACCTTAGATAGCCTTTTAGGCTCCTGTCTGTGTTCTGGTGTTTATAGATGAGAGTATATATTTTTTTATCCAGGCATGATGGTATATGCCTGTTACCTGACACTGTGGAGGCAGAGGCAGGAGGATAAAACATTGGAAGCTAGCCTGGGCTACATGGTGAACTTTTTGCTGAAAACAGTTTGTTTTGCAAAATCCACAAGGCTTAAATCACAGGCATATATGGCATGAGATTAACCAAAGTTATTTTAAGTGACTTTCTAAACTCTTTTGGGATTGTGTCTTGTCTGTCTAGATGAAGATGTATAGACAGACACAGTCTTTGTGTCTTCTGATGGTGGCCTTGCAGGTTCTCCTTTTGAAACTCTTTACTTAGATTTTGGCAGAGATCAAGAACTCCAAAAAACTGTGACAGATTCAGGCCTCAAGCCACTGTTTCCATTGATGATTCGTGAGGCCTTGCAGTTCTGGAGGGGACAGTAGAAAAAAATATTTAGAATACTTGATTATTTCCTATACGATTCCATGTTTTTATTGCAACTTGAAACCTGATGTTTATGTGTAGAAATGCAGACTTTATGGCAATAAGGAAAAAAGTAGCTTGAGGGTGTGTGTGACTGCAGAAGATCTCCCTGTTGCCTGCTAGAGGGAGAGCTGGAGACCCAGCAAGGGGAGTGAGTTAACAGCCACCTTGCTTCATCCTGTTACTACACAAAGGCTGCATTGAGCTCTAGGGGTTCTCTCCTACTTTGTCTTTGTATCAAAACTTGAAAATTTCCTTATCCTATCAGGATAAGACTCCTTTATTGAGGAAGGTGCCTGCTTTTCCTTTGATCTAGTCAGTTCTGGCTGCCTCCTCAGGTGTACATGACATCCTAAATATCCTGGACACTTGCCTGATTGGCAGTGCTAGTACTCTGTGTCAGAACTGGGACTTGCACAGTGCTCACTGGCTGCCTATGTGGCCTATGTGGCTTTAGAAAGGTTAGAGTTGATGAGGTTTTTGTATTTTTGATTCCACTAAACTATAAAAGAAAGAATTCCTTAGAAACTCCAGTTTTAATAATTCATTTTTAGTATGTCCTTAAATATGCTTAGAATTTTGCAGGAACTGTTTTATCTTACTTTTGCTGAAACTACACATCACTGCTAGAGGAATTCAAGGTGGGATAATGGCTTAGAGAAAAAAGGACAGCTTGGAAACACCTTCTAACCCAGGTGTTTGCAAAGGTCCAGATGTCAGCTGTTGTGCAAGTGTATGACAGTCATCTGCAGATAGGAATCAGGCTTCTAGATGCCAGGAGGGTACTTTAGAATAGGGGTTTTCAACCTGTGGGTCACAACCTCTTTGGAGGTCCAAAAGCATCACTTCTTAACCACAGACTCCATTTGATTTGCTTAAGTGAAAATCTTTTCTCAACCAGGGCTCAATCATTTTTATGATATCTTGCACTCTCAAATCAAAGATTTCTCTTTCCTTTGCATGTATTTTAGTGACAGAAATGCCCTCTCCATGACTGAGCTCCAATTGGGTAGATGCTAAGATATGGAGACAGCTCTAATGGGACACAAAGAAAAACCTTGTTGGTGTTTTGAAATTTGAGTGCCTCCGCATGTGTGCGTATGTGTGTGTGTGTCCCTGCCCTGTTTTTCCTTTTTAAGTGAAAACAGTGCCAGACTCCCAAATGGACCTGCCTTAACCAGCAGAGTGCACACATTGTGCTGTTTGCTCACCTCTGAGGCAGAGCATGGCAGAGGACGCTACATAACACCCGAAGTAATCAGTCTGTCCTGGGTTTATCTGCTTATTCCCTGTCCCCCCCCCCCCCTTCCCCCCAAGTAGGAGTCAGATGTCCTGTCTGATTTATTGCAGTGGCTTCCAATTGCCTGGTGAATTCTACCTTAGCCCTGTGGTGCTTTACCTTCCAGGACTTTAAAAAACTTGGACAATGATAGATTTAGATTTAAAAAGTCATTCTTCATTGTGATCCAGTTTTTGTGTTGACAGCCACTATGCTACTGTTCTGACTGAATAAAGTGATTTACCAGCAACCAGTTGGCCAAGGGTTCTTTTACCCTGGTCTGCAGAGCTCAATCACACTATCACTGGAGAACTGCAGGTCTGTGTTCTTCATGACTTGAGGCAAAGGCACAGACACAGTCCTGGTGGTGAGGTTTCCTGCTTGTACTCTTGACTTCTCTCCAAGCCCTAATATCATATAGTAGTAGAGCTTCTTAGACATGACGTCATTACCTCAGAAGCATAAACAAATCAGGCCCGAAGAGTGTGGGTCCTCCAAGTATGTTTCCAGTCATGGTGCCAGCCTGGACCTGAGCTGCTGAGTACCTTCCACAGTCATGTTCTTTCCTCCTGAGGTCAGTGAACGTTCTGGCAAAGACCGAGAGGAGTCTTTTGATCTTCTTGTTTTTATATTCAACTTTGATGCTAGTCTCGGAGGGACTTTGGAGCACATGTGTGTGGCATCAGTAATTTTACTGAAGCAGCTGCATTGAAATCTCACGGTTTTCTCATCAGAGTGTGTCATACAGGTAAAGCCAAACAGATGGCCAGTGTGCTACGGGCTGGTTATAGAACAGCGTCTTGTGTTGGTCTGCATCAAAAATCGTTTGCATACGGTAGTCTTGGTTACCATCTAAAATAACTTAAAATATTCCTCATGGAAAGAAATTTATTTGTATTTTTAAAACTTTAGGGCTTTATTCTATTTTTCTAAGTCGTTAACTGTACTTTTTAAAAAAGTATTTTGTATCTACTTTTGTAACTTCATCAGAATAAACTATATTGAAAGCAAAAATGGCTTTGAAGTGTGTTAGCATGCTTTTAAATGTGGAAATGAGATCTTTGCAGGTTCTGTGGATTTTGATTACAGTTTAAATTTAGAGGGTTGTCTTTGCATACCATTTAGTATCTGCTTTCTTAAAGCTTAGGAAGAAGTTCCTAAATGAAACCAATATAATACCAGAACCTTATTCCAAAGAACAAATCCCTCTGACTATTGCAGATCCACCCCAGACAGAAATGAACAGTCTCCATCCTGGGATACTTATGGGACTCCAGATCTTATGTACGTTCCTGGGAAATGGGATGGAACCTGCTGGGTTCACTAATTTTCTTAATCTTGAAGTCAAATACTCCTATATTCTGAAAACCCTCCCCAGTCCAAACAGCCACTTGTGGGAGAATTGCCAACAAGCTCATTATATTAATCAGGAGGGTACTTTAGAATAGGGGTTTTCAACCTGTGGGTCACAACCTCTTTGGAGGTCCAACAACCCATTGAAAAACACAGATGTTTACATTACGTTCAATATCAGCAAAATTGCAGTTACTGAGTAGCAACAAAAATAAACCATAGTTGGGGCTCACTACAACACGAGAATTGTATTAAAGGGTCGGCATTAGGAAGGTTGAGAACCGCTGCTTTAGAGGAACAGAATTGGTAGAGTGAATATACATGGGATTATTAAAATGACTTAACAGGCTGTGGTCCAGCTAGTCCAACAATGTCTGTGCCAATGGAAGACCTAAGAATTCAGTAGTTGTTCATCCCACAAGGCTAGATGTCTCAACTGGTCTTCAGTATACACCAGTATCTCAAAGTAGGCTCCAGTGCCAGTGAAGGAATGGACTTGCCATCAAGAGCAAGACGTCTTCCGTGTCCTGTATACAGACTGCCAACAAAAGGTGTGACCCAGATTAAAGGCGGACCTTCCCACCTCAAAAGATTTGGACTAAAAGTGGGTCTTCCCACTGCAGATGACTTAATTGAGAAAAAAATCCTTCACAGGTGTACTTGGTTGATTGGGTTTTAGTTAATTCCATGTGTAGTCAAGTGGGCAACCAAGAATAGCCACTACAGGCACATTTTAGGTCTTTTGAAGAGCAGTGCTACTGTGGTTTGGGGCTTTTTGAGTAGAGTTGGAAACTTGCTAAGTGATCAAACGTGCTTAATACTCATAAGATATAGGCAAACTGTCAGTCAGCATTGTACATCTATTGGCATGGTCTTGCTTTGCAGCACCGATTAACTTCAGACTTGAAGTCCTGTACTGTGGCTTCCCAAGTGCTCTGTGCCTGTCTCGTTTTTGTTTTGTTTCAGTAGACCTGAAAGTGATCACAAAGGCCATAAAGATAGCCCAGTAGGTCGAGGTGTTTGCTGCCAAGCCTGACAGTATGACTTCATGTCTGGAACCCTCATAGTGGATGAAGAGAACCAACTCCAGAAATCAGTTCTTTTATCACCTCATGTGCACTGTGGCATGTACATGCTCCCACATAGATGAATTTAATGATAATTTTAAAATGAAAATTACGTATAGCCTAAGAAATTTTTTTAAGTGATCACCAAAATGTGTGTCGGAGTATCTAATGGCTAAGTCTTTGAAAGCTATTTGAAACTTTAGAAGAGTAGAAATAACCCAGACAAGAGTTAGGAAGGTCTGAGTTAGGCTTTGAAACATAACCAGAAACTACAAGCCATACATCCTTTACCTTGGTCCAGTGTCAAGGCTTTCCAGTCAAAGGCAACCTGAATGCCCCTTGGTTGGCAGATGCCCAGGTCATATAACTCTGCTTTGACGTTGAAGGGCTTGGGAGGACACTGCAGGGCTCTTTACTCAGGGAAAGTTTAGTACTTGGGGCAGTCTGGGGAGGCAGGAGATGGCATGCCAGGAAATTTTCAGTCTTTTCCACAGATGTTCACAAGGTCAGGGAGCTGATGCACAGCTGCTTGGATTGAATTCCCCGCCCGCTCGCCCCCAATCCCTAGTCCCCAAGAAAGGGTTCTCTGTGTAGCTCTGGCTGTTCTGGAACTCCCTCTGTAGACCAGGCAGGCCTTGAACTCAGATTCACTGGGATTAAAGATGTGCAACACCACACCCAGCTGTAGGATTGAATTTTTAAGAACTGACACTCGGGGTGCTAGGGGGCTCTATAAAATGACTGCTAGTAAAGATGTCTCAGAACGAGCCCGGCGTTGGTGGCCCATGCCTTTAATTTCAGCACTCTGGAGGCAGAGGCAGGCGGATCTCTGTGAGTTCGGAGCCAGCCTGGTCTACAGAGCGAGTTCAAGGACAGGCTCCAAAGCAATAAATACAGAGAAACCCTGTTTCAAAAAACCAAAACCAAACCAAAACCAAAAACCTCAGTGCTGCATCCCAAGAGACTCTAACTGAGGAGTCCCGGTGGTGAGGTGGTACAGGCTTGTTACCCGAGAACAAGAGAGTCAGAAATCTAAGGCCATCTTCAGCTACATAATGAATTCGAGGCCAGCATGGGCTATAGGAGACCCTGTCTCAACAATAAACAAAACAGTGACTATGGCCCAAAGTAAACAAAGGTGAAAGAACCTCAAGATCAGAAAGGATCAGCCATTTTCTGGGCCAAAGATGCTTTAAAAAACAAAAGGGCTGGAAAGGTGGCTCCTGGTTAAGAGCCCTGGCCGTTGTTGAAGAGGGCCAGGGCTTGATTCCAGCACCCACGTGGGGTCCACACCCATCTGTAACTCTAGTTCAGGGGATCTGACACTTTCTTCTGGCCTTGGACGCTGGATGTACATGTGCAGACATACATGCAGGCAAAACATCCAGACACATAAAATAGAAAGCTCAAGTTGTAAGGAAACTGGTTTGGTTGGAGGTGAGCCTCAAAAAAGACAAATCGTGTGACCAGATGCCTGGCAGAATCGGCAGGACAATTCTGGTATCACGTCCTGTAGTTAGGATTCCAGCTGGATAGGAAGGTAAGGGGAAGCCATATGAAAACTGTTTCCTTTGTGTGCTGGGAGTGTGAAGGATTTGAGACATTTTTCTCTAAAACACTTTGGGCAGCCTCTTGGAAACTGAAGGTAAGGGGTACCCAGTGGAGCGCCAGCAGTTCTCAGTCTCAGTTTGTGAGTGATCTGTGGGACAGGATTGACAAGCAAAAGCACCAATGTAAATGACAGAGGTAGTCTGTGACCTTCCCTAGGGCACTAAGCTTCAAGTGGCAAACTTGTCTGCACTGGCTTCCAACAGTAACTAAAGAGAGAGGGGGAGGGAGGGAGAGATGATCACAAAACTGTTTGCCTGCAGTGCCAGGCTTTGTACGAGTATAGCAATACATTGGAAAATAATTTCTTTAGTTCCAGCCAAATCCAAGGACCATTTCTCAGTGTCTGATTTATAGATCATTTGGTCTGTCTTAAACCAGTCACCATCTAGTTAGCCAGTCCCTGCTCCGAGGGCTAGAATACAGGAGTCACTCAACACTTAAGTTTTGTTTTGTTTTGTGTTGAGAGAGGGTCTCTTTATGTAGTCCTAACTGTCGTGGAACTTGCTATATAGGCCAGGCTGGTCTCAAACTCACAGAGATCAATCTGTCTCTGCCTCCTGAGTGCTTCGATTAAAGGCGTGCGCCACCAACGCCCGGCTATGGTGTGTGCTTCTAATCCTACCTATTCTGGTGTTTTGTTTTGAGCCGGAGTCTCACTGTGTAGCCCTGGCAGGCCTCACACTGGATATGTAGACGAGAATGACCTTGAACTAAAGAGATCTGCCTGCCTGTGTCTCCAGTGCTGGGATTCAATGCATGAACCAACACACTCCCATCCCACTTGGTTTTGAGACTAGTCTCTCTAGCCCAAACTGGCCTGGAATGCACTACTTAGTCCTGACTGACTTTGAACACAGAACAGTCCTGGGATTACAGGTTCCATCCTAGGTTGTGGCTCCTGGAATTTGGGGAAATCCAAAACAAATTTCTGTCTTCCATTCTAACACACCTTATCCCCTCGTCATACCTCATCCCCTCTCCTCCTGCCCCTGGTTTAGTCCATCGCTCATATGGCCTCTGCATCAGTCTGTCTTCTCCAATTTCAGCCTCTTTACAAGGTCCGCTCTTCTGAGGAAGAGCCAGAACGCTCTTTCTAAAACCCTAACCTAAGACACCCGTTGCTTGAGAATTTCACGGAAACTTCTTTCTGGAAAGAAGTCAGTTCCCGAGAGCACTGACTGGCTTGTCAGGAAGGAGGACTGTCCCGTGCACCCGGGGATCTGGCTGCCGAGGTAGGTGACTGGGAGCGGGTCTGGGACCCTGTAGTGGAAGGCGGCATGGAGGGATGGAGAGTGTGCCCGGGCCTGCAGGTGCGGCTGGTTCTGGGTGGCGACCGCCGGGCGGGCGCGGCCTCCGGGCGGCAGGGGGCGGGCTCTCCCAGGGCGGCGGCTCAGGACAGAGTGCCGGTGTCTTTCCGGCTGCACTGTGACCTCAGGCTGCGGGCTGCGTCGCGGGGCATGGCGGCATGGGGCCCGGCGTCCACTGTGCCTCTGCTCCGCGGGAGCCACGGGGTGAGGCGGCGGGGCTCGGGCGGAGCTGCGGGGGAGCTCGGGTGGCACTTGTCTGGCTGGGGACGTGGGGCAAGGCCGGGGTCCTTCCCTGCTCATTCATTCTCTCCTGACCTCTCTGAGTCGCACTGGGAGTGCCGGTGGGTACCGGGCTCAGGTGAATGGGACATTCCTTCCCGTAAACCGTCACAGTACAGCGAACCTGGGAAAGAAACCCTGCCTGCCATAGTGGAAAACAGGTGCTGTAACCCTGTAGTCCAGGCCTTGGTTGCTGGGCCCTGCAGTTGCACATAGAGCAGGCCTCTGACCTTGACCCTCCATAGCCTGCAGCCTGGAGTGGGAGCCCAGCATACAGCGAGCTCTCCTGTTAGTTTTTGAGACAGTGTCTCACATTATCGCCCTGGCTAGCCTAGAACTTGTGACATTCCTCCTAACCCTCAGAATAAAGTCATAAGCCACACTGCCTGGCCGTTCTCCTCTTTTCACACTCCCTTAAGCTTTACCTCACCTATCTCTTTATCCTCACTTGCCTGCTGGTCTTGAGTCTGCCTCCCATGCAGGTCATCTGGGATTTAGTCAGGCTGTTGACAGGACAGTGTGCTAAGGTGACAGGCTCCTGTGAGGATTCTGCAGTGCTAGCCACTGTGCCTGTCATCGGGTTATGCCACCTATGCTTCTGTCTGAGGAGCACTCCACCCCCGAAACCTTGCAGCCTCACAGCCTCACGCAGACCATCTAACTCCAGACCTTTCGTCCAGCCTGCAGTTCAGTCATCCCCTAGGCCTGTGTCCAGCGGCCATGGCTCTCATCTGTACACTCATTGCTTCAGAGGGCCTGCCTTAGGGTCAGCCCTGGGATGCTGCTGTAGAGGCACAGACTCCATCTTGGCCTTTTAAGACCAGCCAATGAGAGCTGGGGAGAAGGCTCGGTTGGTAAAGTGCTCCCAAGGATGATTTGAGTTCGGTCCCCAGGGCCCATGTGGAATGGTGGGTAAGAGTGTTCACTGCTTTTGCAGAGGACCCCAATTCAGTTTCCAGCCTTCATGTCAATCAACTCACAACTGCCTGGAACCCCAGCCCCAGGGATCTGATACCCTCATCTGACTTCTGAAGGCACTGCATTCATGTGCACACACTCTTAAATATACTTGTAATCCCACTGCTGGGGACTTGCCTGCCAGCCTAGCCCACTTGATGAGCTCCAAGCCAGTGAGCTACTGTGTCTCAAAAAGCAAGGTGGTGTCCCTGAGAATGACCGATGTGCTTGTCCTCTGACCCCCAATGCACATGCACACACGAACATAGCTCAGAGACCCAGGGTGCAACCCTGAACGTCTAGACTAGCACCCTGCTCTGGACCTTCAGGTGAGACTAAGGAATGCCTGGATGGCACCTTCAGCACCCGCACTCACCGACCCCAACACTTGGCCTGCCCCCACTCCAGCAGAAACCACCTCAGTTTCCATGGACCCCCTCTTTGTTGTCACAGCTTCCTCTGCTACACTGTGTACATCGGATGTTTGCCTCCCAGACTGAGGGGGAGCTCAAAGTGACCCAGGTTCTCAAAGAGAAGTTTCCGAGAGCCACAGCTATCAAAGTCACGGACATCTCAGGTGAGGCTTCCTCCCATCTACTCCGTGGGGCTTTGCTAAAGTTTTCAAAGAGTTTTTGCCTGGGGAGAGACTAAAGTCAAAAGGCCGGGAGGAGGGGACTTGCCATTGTGGCTTCTGCCATGTGTGCTTTGGGCCAGTTGGAGATGGGGACTTAGAATGGGGGAAACCACGAAGACAAGGGCCAGGCTGAGAGAACGTTGGGTTACCAGACGGGGCCTGCTCACATGAGGTCCCGCTTGCTGATGAGCAAGCCTGCCCCTGTAGAGGCACCAAGAGCTCAGGTAATAGTCTCCCAGTTTTGAGATGGACCTTGTAACTCACCCACCCCAATTCTTCTGACTCTCCACAATGGCAGAACCAGAATGGGCCCAAGGTAGGTTTGGTCAACTACTCGACTGTATCCAAGAGTCAAGCCCGAAACAGCTGCAGGAAACAGGACAGCCAGAGGCAGAATCAGGACCCAGGGCAGACTCTCTAAGCCCAGGCTGGCCGTGTTCTTCTAAGGCCACCGCTACACCTCCAAATGCCTGGCTGTTTGTCAGGACTGGGCTGGAGGAGTAACTTCTGCACCAGAAGCAGAGGGAAGACTGGGCCTTATCTAGACACACCCAGAGAGGGACACAGGTGCAGGTAGCCAGATAAGAACCAGCCCCGCACGTCCACTGCAAGGAGGCCTCCCCGATGGCCCAGAAAGCACCCTTGCATGGGTCGTGAGAACATTCAGAAATAGCTTTCGTTGGGCTGGGGATGTAGCCCAGTTGGTAGAACACTTGCCTACTATGTACAAAGGCCCAGCTAAGTGATACTCGATGCTGTCGAGTCGACAATCACTATCAACCCTTGTTGGCAGGACTCCACATATGTTTGGGTGAAACATTAGGCTATTTTTGTAATTTTTAACGGGTCTGTGGAAGGTGAAATATTGAAATTGACCTTCCCACCATCTCCCGTGGCTAAGAGAGAATCTTCTACCTCCCAGTGCCTCCCAGGCCTTGGGTCTCCTCTTTCCTGCCACACTCAGTTGTGGGTAGCAGAGAGGCCTTGCAAACACAAGAGTACATGTGGGTCAAGGCTGCCTGCCAGGAGTTAATAGTCAGGTCGGAAACTGCTCTTACCTACGCCTGTTAGCAGAATGCCGGCAGGACATTCCTTTCCTGGGACTGTCTGGTACTTGAGGAGTGCGAGTCTGCGACCATCTGTTGTAACGGAAATGCCCTTGACTGTTTCAGGAGGCTGTGGGGCGATGTACGAGATTAAAATTGAATCAGAAGAATTTAAAGAGAAGAGGACTGTCCAGCAGCACCAGATGGTCAATCAGGTCAGTGGCTGCTGACGGTCCTTTTCCCTCTGGCTTTCAGCATCTGAGGGCACGGCAGAGGGCATGGTGGCCATCACTGTCAGTCCCAGGAAAGAGCAAGGCAGCCTTTAGAATATGGTCAGGAGGCCAGGACTTGAGACCCTGAAATACATAATCAAAGACTTACTAGGTTGAGATTTTAAACAAATGTAAATTCATTAAAAATTGAAAATAAGCCACCCAATAGTTATCTTCCAACTTTTACTGTTTCTTTGGTTTGGGTTTTTGTTAAAGAGAGTTTGGGTTAAAGAGAGTTAGGTTTTTGTTAAAGAGGGTCTCGTGAAGCCCAGGCCAGCCCCAAACTCATTATGTAGGTGAGGATGGTCTTGCATTTCTGATTCTCCTGCCTCTGCCTCCCAAGTGCTGGGGGTGTGTACCACCACACCTGGCTTATGAAGTCTGGGTACCAAACTCAGGCACACTTGGTGAGAGCTCTACCTACTGAGCTGCATCCCAGACTCATCTGGGTACTTTTAAAGGACTCCTTCTCATGTATGTAGTCCAGGCTGGTCTCAAACTTACACTACAGCCGAGGGTGACTTTGAACTTCCGATCTTCCTGCCTCCACCTCCATGATGCTGGGTTTCTAGGTGTGCACCACCACACCTAGTTTATGAGGTGCTGAGGGTGGAACCCAGAACTTTGTGTATGCTGGGCAAGTGCTCTGCCAAACCCTGTATCCTCAACCCTTGTGAGGGATTTTAAGACAGGTGTCCATCTGATGCCTTGTCTGGACTCATGCTGTCTAGCCACCGCCTCCTGAACAGGGTTATAGACGTGCTCCATTGTGCCTGGCCCACTCAGTGTTTTCTGCTGTTGCACACTGACATATCTGTAAGCACAGACCGTGCTTGAGACACGTTTTTGGAGATTTGGTATGTGTTCCTCAATTGGAACCTGCACCAGCCTTTACTTCGGGCCTCTGTCCCAGAAGTCACCCCTCTGGACAACTGTGTTTGGTGTCACTCTCAGAGGTCTTGTGTACTATCAGCTGGGTTAGTTTCTGAAAACCAGAGTCTGGCCGTAAACCCCTTTGTCTGGAGTTTACACATCCTTTGCAGTTGTCAGAGGGGCTTCCCTGCCCACTCTGCCATCATCCGCACAGCAGGCTGTTGCCTGTTGGTCTTCATCCAGACCCTGACCCTAAATGAACCTCTGGTCTAGGTTCCCTTCTGCACCTGACTCTAAAGCTGCTTCCCATCCTCCTGGCTGGGCCCCAAAGACCCTCCACTTTTTCTTTTCTTTTTAAGATTTATCTGTCTGTCTATCTATCTATCTATCTATCTATCTATCTATCTATCTATCTATCTATCATATGCTGCCTGGTGTGACTGGATTCCTGGATGCCATTAACCTATATGCATCCCTTGGCCTGCTTTTTTAGTCGTGATCCCAAGTAGGTCATTCAACCTCCCTGTGTCCACACAGGCTGAGAACACATAGTAGGCCCTCCTTAAATGTACTGTGTGCTCTAGGCTAATCTCCAGGCAATTCTCCTGTCTTCCCCTCACTGTAGGAATGCCAGGGCTACAGATGTGTGCCACATCTGGCCTTTTTACATAGGCTCTGGGTTCATATTCAAATTGTCAGGCTTGCTTAGCAAGTCCTCTTACCTGGTGAATCACGGCCCAGGCGCTTGCAGTGCCGTTGTTGCTGGCCTTGAGGTCTTTTTGTAGCTCTATTCTTCATTGTTGTCCTTTGCTTTTCCCTTGGTGTCCCCAATACCTAATGGAACACTGTGCCCAGCCATGCCCAATCGTGCTCATCCCAGCTGCAGCTTTTCTTTTTTTCAAGACAGGGTTTCTCTGTACAGCCTTGGCTGTCCTGGAGCTCACAATGTAGCCCAGGCTGGCCTCAAACTCACAAGAGATCTGCCTGCCTCTGCTTCCCAAGTGCTGGGAGTAAAGGCGTGCACCACAATGACTGGCTTTCAAGCTGCATCTTCTTACCCATGATACTCTGGGGTTTTTTGTTTATTGTTTTCTGTAGCCCTGGCTGTCTTGGAACTCCATGTGTAGACCAGCCTGGCCCCTGAGTGCCAAGATTAAAGGCGTATGCCACCACTGCCTGATTTTTTTTTTTTTGAGGCAGTGACTCGTAGTCCAGGGTAGCCTTGAACTCACTAAGTGACGGAGGACAACCTTGGCCTTCTTTTATTTGTTAAGCACTAGGGATTGAACTTAGTACATTGTCTGCAGCTCCATGACTGACCCTCCGGCGCCCACTCCCACACTTAGGGTACTTTAATCAGGTACCTCAGTAATTTTGTCAGTGACTCCTCTGTGACTGTAACAGGTAGCATGTGACACTGATGTGGGATGAGGAGCCTTGGGGGATCAGGGAGGTGTTGGGAACAGGAAGTGTGCACACCACAAAACTGAAGGTGTGCCCGGCTCCCCCCTAGCTGGCAATAGCCCAGATGCAGAGACAGAAATAGCCACTAGAGGGCATCCTGGGCCTGCAGCAAGCAGAGGGAAGGGACCTGACTGGGAGATGAGGCTTTTTTTATAACATTTTTTTTTTTTTTATTTAGAAACAATCATTTTACATATCGGTTCCCCCACCCTGTTTCCTCTCGCTCCCATCCTCCCCTGCCCCCTACCAATCTTCCCCAACCCACCTCCTACCCGCTTCCCAAGGATAGTGAGGCCTTCCATGGGGGAATCAAAGTTTGTCACATCACTTGGGGGAGGGCCTAGGCCCTCCTCCGTGTATCTGGGCTGAAATAGTATCCTTCCATAGGGAATGGGATCCCTAAGTCCATTTGTGTACTAGGAATAAATACTGGTTCCACTGTTAGAGGTCCCATAGAGGGCCCAGGTCTCCTAGCTGGCACTCACATTCAGAGGGCTTGTTCCGTTCAGTGCTGGTTCCCCAGCTTTAAAACTGGGGTCCCTGTGCTCTCACTAGGTCAGGTCACAGCTGTTTCTGTAGGATTCTCCAGCACGGTCTTGACTCCTAGTTGTAGAGATGAGGCTTTTTAAGGGCCCTTTCTGTTTGCAGAGTTGAGGCTTCCATTGACTATAGAGTTGGCCTTGGTAGGACCAGTTAAGAATATGACTGAAACCAGCTGTGGCCAGGACTACAGAACGTCTGGGCCCATACCCTGACCTATTTACTCCCTTGCTGACTCTGGGCCAGAGGTACTCAATGTTGTTTTAACTCCACAACCCAGGTAGACGTCTGTGTGTATGCTGTAGGTGAGAGAGAGACAGACAGACAGACAGAGACAGAGACAGAGAGCACAGGTTCAGGGTCTTCCTATATTGCTGGGCTAGACTTGAACTCCTGAGCTCAGGTTACCACCCTGCCTTACCCCAGTGGTGGGCTATAGGTGTGTAGCACCACAGCAAGCATAGATGGGTTTGTTGTTGCTTTCTTCAGGCAGGGCTTTTCTGTGTAGCCTTGGCTGTCATGGCACATGTTTTGTTGACCAGGCTGGCCTTGAACTCCCAGAGATCCACCTGCCTCTGCTTCCCCAGTGCTGGGATAAAAGCCATGTGCCACCAGCACCTGGCTATAAACCTAAATATTATGGACTAAACACAACTGTTAAAGGAGTTGGGTGTGGTGGTGCACACCTCTAATCCCAACTCTGAATTGGAGGACTCTGGTCTACAACAGCAAGTTCCAGGCCAGTCAGCGCTATATAGTGAGCCCCTGCCTCAAGCCAGTGAAAATTACAAGGGGTCTGGGAAGAGGCTTAGAGGGCAAAGTGCTGTGTGCAAGTGTGAGGACCTGAGTTAGGATTCCCAGAACCCACATGAAACCAGATGCTGGCGTTACAGACCTCTGGGACCACACTCAGCGTTGACATCAGTCCTGCGTGGTCTCAGTGCCTGGAAAGCAGAACGGGGAATCCCTGGAGTAAGCTGTCTAGATGACTGGCCAAAACAGTAGGCTCCAGGTTCAGTGAGCCACCTGAACATAAATCGGAGAGCGGTCAAGGAAGATACCCAGTGTCAACCTCAGACCTCCAAATGCATGGACACACACGTGCACAAATGCACACGTGCATCCGCACACATGCAAACATGCACACATACACACAGCACACAGACATGGGCAAAACCTATTTTGAAGGGAAAGTTGCTTAAACAAAACATGTGCAAGGTATCCTTCAGACAGAGCCGTGTAGAACACCCCATAACCAGTGTAAAGACATGAGAACTGACTGTGCCATCTCTTCCTCAGGCACTGAAAGAGGAGATCAAGGGTATGCACGGCCTTCGGATATTTACCTCTGTCCCCAAGTCCTGACGGCACCCCGGCTATGTGACTGCTGATGCTTGAAACCTTGAGTGTACTTCGCCACAGCAATCTTCCAGAAAAATCCCTGCCAAAAAATATATCTATTTTGTTCATAGACATTTATGTATTATAATATAGGAGCTATGTTATCTACTTAGAGTTAATTAAAGACCACAGATACCCACCATTCACAACAGAAGCAGTGCCCTTGTTCACACTGGTCATCTCTGCACAGTTCTTCCTGCTACGGCACACAGAATCAAGACTGGGCTTTGGTTGTTTTTGTTTTTTGAGATAAGGTCTCATTGTGTAGCTCAGGCTAGCCTGGAACTATTTAGACCAGGCTAGCTTGAACAACAGATGTGTCTGCCTCTGCCTTCCTACTGTTTGGATGAAAAGCATGTCTCTATGCCTAACCCCAGATTTTTTGGTTCTATAAAGAAGTTCTGAGAACTTTCCCTCCCCTACTTCTTCAAGAATGACAAGGAACCCCCAGTTTCTCATGCCCTGGAGAGGAGCTGAGGAATGGCATGCGTAGCCCAGGGTTTGAAGGCCTCCATCCTCTGCATTTGGCAGGCAGAGTTTGCCAGGAGCTGTGCTTTCTCAGCCAGCCTTGCCAGCCACACATGCTCGCCCTGGGCTCTGGGAGGGAGTGACTCTGAGAAGCTGGGGCATCTAGATATTCTGGATACCAGGGCTATGAAGTCTGGCATTCTGCGTGGAAGTTCTAGCGGTTGCTGGGTGAGTGTCACCAGTGTGTCTGGATCCACGATGGTGAGCAGATGGTGTAGGGTGATTGTCCCCCAGTCCCAGGACCTGTATCATCTTGTATTTCCAGAAGAAGGCTCACCAGTGTTCTTCAGATTCAGTGGTCAACTCCATACCTTTGCTCTAAATTCTGACTGATTCATACAAGTGTGGTCAGTGCCTGCTGCAAGCATACGGGTCTCTACAGGATCTGTCAGTCCTTTCGGTGTGGCTTCTACCTTCCCGCCAGCCTCCCCATCCCTGCCGAACAGCTTTCTCTCTTCCCTCTCTCCCCCTCTCCCCTTCTCCCTCCCTCCCTCCCTCCCTCCCTCCCTCCCTCCCTCCCTCCCTCCCTCTCTCTCTCTCTCTCTCTCTCTCTCTCTCTCTCTCTCTCTCTCTTTCTTTCTCTGTGTCTCTGTCTCTCCCCCCCCCCTTTTTTTTGAGGCAGGGTCTCTCACAAAGTCCTGGCTGTTCTGGAGCTTACTATGTAGACCAGGCTAGCTTTGAACTCAGAGATCCACCTGCCTCTGCCTCTGGAGTGATGGGATCAAAGACATGTACCACCACACCTGGCAATAGCACATATGGAGGTCATGGGAAGCTTACACATGTTGGTTCTTTCCTTCTGCTCTGAGTCCTGGGGACTGACTGCAGGCTCAGTGACGCCTGTTCTGAGTCCTGGGACTGACCTCAGGCTTGGCAACAAGCAATTTACAGTTGAGCCACCTTTCCAGCTAAGTCTAGAGGTGTTTTGGGCATCTGAACTAAAGCTGTTATGTGTGTGTGGCACATAAGCACTTATCTTTTTGAATTTAGACCAAAGTGTGAAAAACCGTCCGAGCTTCTGGAGGGCTCTGCTATGGTCCTCTTCCAGCACACCCCTGCCCATGGGGGCAAGCTGTCTGTTGATAACGGCCCAGATCAGTCTGTGAGTTAGTCCATAGCCAGTGCCAGGTTCTAATGTGGGCTTACTGTAACAAGGGCAGCTTGAGGACACCCAGGGGGTGGGGTCTGGATTGGTATCGGTGTGAGTGGTGTACAAGTTGAAGCCAAAGTCATCTGGACCTGCAGAAGTGTGACAGGACACGGGATAGAAGCAGAACTGGGCCTACGTGGGTCTGAGAGCTCTGGATGAGAAGCTACAGGGGTGGGGTCGGGTGAGCCATGAGGCACATCCCTGAGCTGCTACTCATGGTACCAACCAAGAGTGAGAGTGACCCGAGAGCAGAGATCAGTGTGTGTCAGAGAATACGGTGGCGTGGGTGTGGGCGTGGGGACACTTAAGGCTAGGGCAGGGTTTTGCAGTGGTGGAGGGAGGGGGTATGTCTGCACAGACTGCTGGAGGTGGAGAGGGGGGGCTAGACAGATCTGGAGGTGCTGAGAGGCACCCCACTGGTTGTGAGGGTTGGACCCCTCTTCTGGTCTCCAGGATGCTGAAGGCCTCACTTTTGCAGAGTACTTCAGGTCAGGTGACTGACAGTTCTTCATGGTTAAACAGCCTCTGGGCCAACAGTAGCACATTTAGAATAAAATTTTATCAATTCTTTGAGAACTTCATATTCACTGCCCCTCCCCCAACTCCTCCTATACCCACCCTCTCCACCCTCACTTCCCTACCCACCCAACCTTGTGTTTCCTTTTCTTCCCATCAAGTCCAGTTTGTGTTGCTCATCTACTACCCTTGGGAGGGCAGCCACGGCATTAAAGAAAACACTCTATCAAATGCCAAAGCTCCCCAGAGTGGTGGGATTTTGTGCCAACTTGCCCCTCTCCCATGCCAGGATTTTGTTTGGCTTGAGAGTATATAGGTCTTGTGCATGCTGTCACAACTGCCATGGAGGTCTGTGTACAGCTGTTCTCCTGTGTCTGGAAAACACCATTTCCTTGAAGCTACCCACCACTTCTGGCTCTTACAACCTTTCCATCACCTCTTCCACAAGGATCCTTGATGCGCGTGTGTTATGTACATCCCATTCCAGGACAGCCCTCTACAGTTTCTTATTCTCTGCATGTTGACCTTGCTTGTGAGCATGCAAGACCAGCCCTCTGCTGCTGAGCTCCGCCCCAGCTTTTGTCTTGAGACGGGCTCTGAGGCTGTGATTGAGTTTGTGCTCCCCTGCTTGGGCTTCACAGAGCTGGGCTTGTAGACTTGTACACCTGGGTAGTTAGTACTTTCCTGTTGTGTGATAAACACCTTGGCCAAAACAACATGGGGAGCAAAAGTTTTATATGGTTTACAGTTTGTCACTGTGGTGGTCTGAAGAGTAATGGTTCCCATGGACTCATGTGTTTGAATGCTTGGTACCAGGGTGTGGCACTGTTAGGAGGTGTGGCCTTGTTGTAGCAGGTGTGGCCTTATTGGAGATTGTGTGTCACTTGGGGTGAGCTTTCAGGTTTCAAAGGCTCAAGCCAGGCCCCATGTGTCTCTCTCCTTTCTTCCTGCCAATCCAGATACAGAGCTCTCAGCTTCCTGTCCAGCTGCATGTTTCCTGCCATGACAATAATGGATTAAACCTCTGAACTGTAAACCAGTCCTAATTCAATGTATTCTCTTATATGGGTTGCTGTGGTCATACTGTCTCGTCACAGCAATAGAACACTAAGACAGGAACTCAGGGAACCTAAAAGCTGGAAATGAAACAGAGTCTGGAGAAAAGAATCTACCTGACTGGCCTTCCTTGGCTTACTCAGCCTGCGTTCTTTCTTTTCTTTTAAAGATTTGTTTATTTTTGTGTTTTAACTGGTTGAGTATTTCCTCTTCATGTATGTCTGTTCTCCCCCAGAAGAGAGAATCTGATCACACCATAGATGATTGTGAGCCATCATGTGGATACTGGAATTGAATCAAGACTTCTGTGAGAGCAGACAGTGCTCTTAACCACAGAGTCATCTCTCCAGCCCCTCAGCCTCCTTTCTTATAGAACCCTGGGCTGCCTGCCCAGAAGTGGCTACAACAACAGTGGGTTGTACTCTTCTGTGTCAATCAAGAAATTCCTCCAGAGCGTTTCTGGAAAGGCAGTCTGATGGGGACAATCCTTCATTTTGTCTCCTTCTCTGATGACTCTAGTTGGTGCTGACAAAAAAGTAACCAGCACACAGATCTGGGATTGTGATAGTTCTCTACTATTGCCCTTTGAGTCTTTAAGCTTGGTCGTGCCAGTTGCTACCCCCAACAGCTTTTGGGCATGTTTGTTTGTGACAGCCACATGGAGATCTTGTTTATTCCTTAAAGGGCCTGGAGAGATGGCTCATCAATTAAGATCATTTGGTGCACTTTCAGGGGAACCAAGTTCAATCATCAGTACCCACAGGGCAGCTCACCCTGTCTGCAACTCCTGTTGCTGAGAGCAGAACTATCTTCTTAACTCCTCAGATGCCAGGCACAGTTGGTAGATATACATAAACTCATGCACATGTGGTTGACATACATACACACAGGTCCATATTCATGATACTCATGTAGTGAACATACATACACATATATGTGGTACACATACATCCACATGTGGTGCACATACATCCACATGTGGTGCACATACATACACATGAGGTATACACACATGCACATTGATGCACATATATAATACACAATTAGTGTACATACAGACATCCACATGTGGTGCACATACACATATACACATATATACACATACATACATACAAACACGTGGTCTACATGCATACACATGTGGTACACATACATACATATACATGTGGTAAACATACATAATACTCTCGTGGTGCACATACATATATACACACATACATACATAGAAACACGTGGTATACATACATACACATGTGGTGAGCATACATACATACACATAGGGTGCACACACATAACATACACATGTGGTGTACATATAGACATACTCTTTTTTCCCCTCAATATATGTTTTTATTTAAATTAGAAACATGAATGCTTCACATGTCAATCCCAGCTCCTTCTCCCACCCCTCCTCCCTTGTCCCTCCACCAGGCCTCCCAGCCCTCCACCCCATCCCCACATCATTCTCCAGGGAGGGTGAGGCCCTCCTTAGGGGGAATCTCCAAAGTCTGCCATTTCATCCAGGGAAGGATCTAGGCCCTTCCCCATGTGTCCAGGCTGAGAGAGCATCCCTCCATGTGGAATGAGCTCCCAAAGGTCATTCGTACACCATGGTCAACACTGATCTACTACCCAAGGCCCCAGTGATTTCTGTGTGGCCTTCTCACTGGCACTACATTCATGGAGTCTGGATCAGTTGCCTGTTGGCCTCTCAGCCATCAGTCTGGGATTCAAGAGCTCCCCCTTATGCAGTCAGCTGTCTTTGTGGGTTTCACCATCATGGTCTTGGACCCCTTTGCTCATAACTCCTCCATCTCTGTCACTGGGTTCCAGGAGTTCAGTTCAGTGTTTAGCTGCTCCCCCATACCTTCTTCTCCCCTCCTCTTATCCCCCTCT